TTCGAAAATGCTGAGTTTCTGCTTCCGGCGCCCGGGAGGCCGTCCGGGCCGATTCCGGAGCCTGGGCCGGCGCCCGGCCCGGCTCCCGGGCCGGACGCCCGGGTCGGCGCCTGAGCCGGCGCCCGGGCGCCAGAAAATCGAGTTCCGAGGCGGCGCCGAAAACAGGCCATTCCAATGCACATTTTTCTTTCGAAAATGCTCAATTTCTGTTTCCGGCGCCCGGGAGGCCGTCCAGGCCGATTCCGGAGCTCGGGCCGGCACCCGGCCCGGCTCCCGGGCCGGACGCCCCGGGCAGTTCCGATCGCGCCGAAAAAGAGGCCCATTCCAATACACATTTCTCTTTCGAAAATGCTCAATTTCTGCTTGCGGCGCCCGGGAAGCCGTCCTGGACCGATTCTGGAGCGGCTTTGGGCCGGACGCCCGAGCCGGCGCCCGTACGTGGTGCTTCTCTGCTTCTGGCGCCTGCGCAGCTTCCCGAGCTGCTTCTGGAACCATATTTGGGCCGGTCCAGCGATAGGTTTCCTGGATGTGCTGAACCATCCAACTTTTCGGGACTTCTGCGTCTGAAGGATAGGGAGAGAAGACATTAAAGTAGGATCAAAAAGCAACGTCGCTATGAACGCTTGGCGGCCACAGACCATTTCTCTTACTTGGACTACTACTACCGTTACCACTACTACTACTAGTGCTACAGCCGCAACAACAATATCATCAACTGCTGCTACTACAACTACTCATCCTTCCTCCCCCTCCTCCCGCTCCCTTCTCCTCCTCCCCCTCCCTATCTCTCTCATCTCCCCCTCCTCTTCCTCTTCCTCTCCCTCTGAGATGCGGGGCATGCGCAAGGCGATTGCGAGGGCGATGTGCCGTCCGAGCTATGGATGTTGAAGTTCCTCGGAAGAGGTGGTGGCCAAACCTTCTTGGGCGGGATATCTGGGTGAGGGAAAAGCGGATCCCGCATGCCAGAAAAATCCCCCATGATGGGGTGTGTTATCCAGATGGATGCATGTGTCATGTGGAAGCATGGCGCATGAGGGTAAAATGATTATTGTTGTTGTTGTTGTTTTTGCTGTTGTTGTTGTGTTGTGTTGTTGTTGTTCTTGTTGTTGCTGTTGCGCCGGACCGTTATAGTCGCATTAGTAGTAATTAGTAGTAGTAGTAGTAGTGTAGTAGTAGTAGTAGTTAGTTATAGTAGTAGTAGTAGTAGTAGCTAGTGTGGTAGTGTAGTGGTATTGGTTAAGTGGTAGTGGTATGGTAGTGGTAGATGGTAGAGTAGTAGGTAGTAGTAGTAGTAGTAGTAGTAGTAGTAGAGTAGTAGCATCAGTAGTAGAATTAAGTAGTAGTAGTAGTAGTAGTAGTAGTAGTAGTAGTAGTAGTAGTAGTAGTAGTAGTAGTAGTAGTAGTAGTAGTAGTAGTAGTAGTAGTAGTACTACTAGTCGTAGTAGTAGTCGTAGTAGTACTAGTACTCGTAGTACAGGCTCGGAAACATTTCTCTTGACGCCACAGCGGGCCCCAACAACAACAACCGAAAGACGAATGAGACCTTCTGCGCCCAACCCTGTCCGCATCAGCGGGTGCGCGATCCAAAGGCCCCCCCCCGTAAAATTCTAAAAGGCTTCCGCCCGCGGGGGGGGGCCCAGGGGGTGATCCACTCCTTTAATTAGAATTTTATTAAGGAGAGTGGATGGAGCCTGGTTTGGGCGATTCTGCTTGGGACGTCCTCAAAATCTGCCTGGTTTGGGGCCTGGTTGGGCCTGGTTGGGCCTGGTTGGGCGGCGCGCCCCGCCTGAGACATCCTCAGAATTTGCTTGGTTTGGCCCTTGGTTTGGCCTGGTTTGGGCCCGTTTCGCTTGAGACGTCCTCACAATTTGCCCGGTTTGGCTTGGTTTGGGCACAGTTTCGATTGAGACGTCCTCGCAATTTGCTTGGTTTGGCCTTGGTTTGGCTTGGTTTGGGCCCGGTTTCGCTTGAGACGTCCTCGCAATTTGCCAGGTTTGGCTTGGTTTGGGCCCGGTTTCGCTTGAGACGTCCTCGCACTTTGCTTGGTTTGGCCTGGTTTTGGCCCGGTTTCGCTTGAGACGTCCTCGCACTTTGCCTGGTTTGGCCCTGGTTTGGCTTGGTTTGGGCCCGGTTTCGCTTGAGACGTCCTCGCAATTTGCCAAGTTTGGCTTGGTTTGGACCCGGTTTCGCTTGAGACGTCCTCGCACTTTGCTTGGTTTGGCCTGGTTTTGGCCCGGTTTCGCTTGAGACGTCCTCGCACTTTGCTTGATTAGTGTTCGTATGCGCGCACTTTCGCTGGATACGTCCTTACACCGCGGATGGTCGGGAGCGCGCTTCGCTCGGATGTCCTCCTGGTTTGGGGCAGCTTCGGCACGGCTTTGGACAAACGTTCCTGGTTCGACCTGGCATCTTGCGCGCATATCTGGAGACATATCTGCAATTTGTTCGGTATCGGGCGTGGGCATGCCCAGACTCCACCCTACACATACTCATTGTCCTCCTCCCCCTCCTCTTCCTCCTCCTCCTCCTCCTCCTCCTCCTCCTCCTCCTCCTCCTCCTCCTCGTGCACCTACCTCCTCCCTCCCCCGTCCTCCGCCTCCTCCTCCTCTTCTTCCTCTTCCTCCTCCTCCTCCTCCAACACGTCCGCCCTCGTTTCACTCACCCCTCCCCCCCAAGGGGTCCCCCCCTTGCAGGGAGGGGGCGGTGTCTCCCCCCGGCACGTCTCCCCTCCCGAAGGGGGATCAGCGCCGCACCGGGGGCCCCTCCTTGCTAAAGGGAGAGGTGGTCGGCCAGACCGAGACACTGGCCAGCAGTGAGGCGAGAACCAGGGAGTGGCGGGCATTCGGGCGAGAGCGCACGTGAACGTCCTAGCCGCCATCGTCGTCGTCGTCGTCATCGTCGTCGTCGTCATCGTCGTCGTCGTCGTCGTGGTCCTGGTCGTGGTCCTGGTCGTGGTCGTGGTCGTGGTCGTGGTCGTGGTCGTCGTGGCCGTCGTCGTCGTGGTCGTCGTGGTCGTCGTGGTCGTCGTGGTCGTCGTGGTGGTCATGGTGGTCGTGGTGGTCGTGGCGGTCGTGGCGGTCGTGGTGATGGTAATGGTGATGGTAATGGTAATGGTGATGGTGATGGTGGTGGTGGTGGTGGTGGTCGTCGTCGTATTCGTTGTGGTCCTGGTCGTGGTCGTGGTCGTGGTCATGATCGTGGTCGTCGTGGCCGTCGTCGTCGTGGTCGTGGTCGTCGTGGTTGTCGTGGTCGTCGTGGTGGTCATGGTGATCGTGGTGGTCGTGGCGGTCGTGGTGATGGTGATAGTGATGGTGATGGTTGATGGTGATGGTGGTGGTGGTGGTGGTAGTCTTCGTCGTCGTCGTCTGCGTCTTTGTCGTCGTCGTCGGGTGCTTTGGGCGTTCCGATACACATTGAGTTAGTTATGTCACGTGATGTATGGAATTGAAGGAAAAAATAATTCACACACGTGGTGGGCATCACTACACTTGTGACGTTATGCCCCCTGGGGGGTCCCAACACACATTGGGATGTGCCGAATGGTATACGTCACGTGGCACAGCCACCGCTGACATACTGCCTGCTGGTATCCGGCGTTCGGCCACGTGGCGGCGTCAAGAGAAAACCTCCCCCAGCAGGTAGTAGTAGTAGTAGTAGTAGTAGTAGTAGTAGTAGTAGTAGTAGAAGAAGAAGAAGTAGAAGTAGTAGTAGTAGTAAGTAGTAGTAGTAATAATAGTAGTAGTAGTAGTAGTAGTAGTTTCTAGTAGTAGTCGCCGTAGTCGTAGTCGTTGTCGTAGTAATCGTAGTAGTCGTAGTAGTCGTAGTAGTCGTAATGGTAGTAGTAGTAGTAGTAGTAGTAGTAGTAGTAGTAGCAGCAGTAGCAGGAGTAGTAGTCGTAGTAGTCGTAGTAGTCGTAGTAGTCGTAGTAGTCGTAGTAGTCGTAGTCGTAGTCGTAGTAGTAGCAGCAGCAGGAGTAGTAGTAGTGGTAGTGGTAGTAGTAGTAGTAGTAGTAGTAGTAGTAGTAGTAGTAGTAGTAGTAGTAGTAGGACAGTCGTAGTAAGTATAGAGTGGGAAGGAGGAGTGGTAGTGGGGAGTGGGAGTGGGAGTGGATTATAGTAGTATAGTAGTAGGTCGTCGTCTTCGGTCGTCGGCGTCGTCGTCGTCGTCGGGGGTAGTAGTAGTAGTAGTAGTAGTAGTAGTAGTAGTGGTGGTTCTAGTTGTAGTAGTAGGAAGTATAGTAGTATATTCGTAGTATCAGTAAGTATTAGTATTAGGTCGTAGTAGTAAATAGTCGTAGAGTGAAGGTAGTAGTAGTAGTAGTAATTAGTACAGTAGTAGTAGTATAGTTAGTAGTAGTAGTAGTAGTAGTAAGTAGTAGTAGTAGTACTACTAGTAGTAGTAGTACGTCGTCGTCGTCGTCGTCGTCGTGGGTCGTCGTCGTCGTCGTCGTCGTCGTCGTCGTCGTCGTCGTCGTCGTCGTCGTCGTCGTCGTCGTCGTCGTCGTCGTAGTCGTAGTCGTAGTCGTAGTCGCAGTCGTAGTCGTAGTCGTAGTCGTAGTCGTAGTCGTAGTCGTAGTCGTAGTAGTAATTTGTATACTGTAAATGACCGAGCTGGGGTCGCGTCGAAGCATGAGTGAGGTTCAGGCGCGGCCTTCGGGCGCCCCTGGCGCCAGTTCTTGCGGGGGCATCTGGACAGCGAGTGCATTCCATCGGTGCACCTTCGGGGCTTCTGTTCGTCACCGAGCCCGACGCCGTGCTCGCAGACGCGGCTGGGCTCAGACTGTGGACGCCCAGTTTGCGTTGGCGTTCGCAGGAGGACGAGGGCACGGAGGAGGAGAAGCAGGCGGAGGAGGATGAGGAGGAGGACGACGACGGAGACGATGAGGGGAGGATCAAGGAGGACGGTGCGGAGAATAAGAAAGTATAAGGAACACCGATGAGGAGGAGGAGGAGCCGTCCCAGGCGGCTATGGACTATTTGCCGATAACAACCTTTTATGACCTCACGGAGGACAGGCCGTACTTGCCGGCACCGATCATCCACAGGCCGCGGCCGCACATGCGGCTGCCCTGCCCTCTTACTTCGTCGGGATAGGAAGAGGAGGAAGGGGAGGAGGAGGAGGAGGAGGAGGAGGAGGAGGAGGAGGAGGAGGAGGAGGAGGAGGAGGGG